CCCCCCCCCCCCCGCCTCCCCGATCCCCCGTCTTCGGCTCCGGATCGGTTTCGTCTATTAACTCATGGTACAGCGGTACCTGCTGTGCTTCGACGGAATATCCTTGTAGTTGACGGTTTTTTGGGCCTCATCAGCAGTGTTGGTGACCTTTCTGTGAGGAATTTCGCAAACGAGCAAAAAGGGCTTCTGTCTCCACATTGTTGTATCGTTTGTACGTTCTTTCCGCCGGGGTACATTTTGCCGGCGTATCTTCGCGGTGATGAAGGATTCAAGATTTTGGACCATTTGTCCTTGTCATGGGCAGAGGAATGAGAAAACTAAAATCTATCTTCAGACTCATTTCTACCAAGAGATGGATCCGTTTGGCAATACGTTAGAAATGTACATGTATTCTTTCAGATTGTAAACGGCCATTTCCCACGCCGACCGCTTGCCCCCCCCCTTGCTATGCACAGGTGTCCCCCAGGGACATGTGCACCGTGGCGGGAGAGCGCGTGGTTACCCTTCAAGGCCCGATGTCCTCCGTCGTCCATGGGCTGACCCTCATCGTCGACCGCATGATGGAGGACACGACCGCCTCCCGCTACCAGAACATGAGCACCATCTACCGCGCCGTCCACCTGCACCTGCCCCCCTATGCCGTTCCGGGGATGCAGCAACAGCAGCAGCAGCAGCAGCATGACAACGGGGCCTCCCCCCGCCACCCCAACCACCCTCGCCTGTCCCCGTCCTACCGCGGGCCTTCCCCCCTCAGCCATCACGACGACTACCACAGCCCGGGCGGTTTGGCGGGGTCCAGAACAGGAAACCGCGGCGACTACGGCAAGACCGTCAATGTTGCGGCCGCCCACTGGGAGTTGGGATACGGGGGAGGGAACCACACTCCGCGGGAGCTGACCCCTCACGGGGGGGTCGGACGTGGCGGCGGAGGAGTTGGGGGGGAGTACGTCCACCGCAACATGTCCATGCCGACCGTGCACCCGCTGTCGGCGCCGCTGGGAAGCCCGCTGAGCCACCAGCACCGCAGCCACACCGCCCCCGCGGCCGTAACCGGCTCTTCGCAGCACTTCGGAGGGAGGCACCTCCGCCAGGAGCACGGCGCCGGCAGCGCGGGCGCCGCCGGCCCGCGGGACTTCGACTTCAGCGAGAGGGACACCAGCAAGGTGCACCGCGGGGGAGGAGCGGGACCGATCGACCTGGACGACTATCGCCTTCGCGTGTACGACTCCCCTTCCCCGGCCGACCTAGGCAGCCGGCCCGGCAGCCGGGAGGGCTACGTGCACCACTCCCCGCACCTCCCTGGGCCTTCGCCGCGGGACCTGGACCACATGCGCCAGCAGCAGCAGCAGCAGCAACACAGCCATGACGGGGGCCGCGGGTTCAGCCGCGTGGGGGGTAGCAGCCCTTACCCGCCTGGGTCCGCTGCGTCTCAGTCTGACTTCTTGCCGCTCCAGCGGGTACGCCAGCAGCAGCAGGAGTCGTCACCGAGCGGTAGCGGCATGCTTGTGCACGAGGCACGCGCGGCGGCGGCGGCTCAGCACAAGCAGCAGCAGCAGCAGCAGCACCGGGGTCTCCACGACGGAGGCCTGCCATCCTCCTCGGCGCTTCACCGCACGTCCCCGGGCTCGGTACACGGCAGCGGCGGCGGCGGCAGCAGCGGGTTGGTGAGCCCGCCCCACGGCGGAGCTCTCCGTCAGGGCGGGATGGTCGGCGGCAGCAGTAACTCGCACGGGTGCGACGCCTCCGGCCTCTCCGGCATGTTCGAAGGCATGAACCTTAA